TTAGGAATTGGTTGCAGGCCAGTGGTTGGGGTAGATGGGTGTTGTCTAAAGGGTAATCATGGGGGTCAGTTGCGTAGTGGAGTTGGATTAGATCCAAACAATAACATCTACCCAATTGCATATGCAATAGTTGAGAGTGAGACAAAGGAGAGTTGGATGTGGTTTTTGAATATGCTGAATATTGATCTGAACTTTAGTGAAAATGAACACACATGGACATTCATGTCTGACAAGCAAAAGGGCTTGATTCCAGCCTTTGAAACCTTGTTCCCAGCTACTGAAAATAGGTACTGTGTGAGGCATCTTCATGGTAACATGAAAAGGGATGGTTTCACTGGATTGGCCATCAAATCAGCATTATGGGCTGCAGCAAGGGCAACTAGAGTTGAGGAATTTCAGAGGAGAATGCAAGAGTTGAAGGATATAGATGAAAAGGCCTATACTTGGCTAGCCAAAAAACCCCCACAAAACTGGTCTAGGTCTCATTTCACTATCTACCCCAAGTGTGATATTTTGTTGAATAATATGTGTGAGTGTTTCAATAGTTTCATACTGGATGAAAGAGAAAAACCAATTATCTCTTTGCTTGAATCTATTAGAAATCTTTTGATGACAATAATTCAAATAAATAGAGAAAAAACACTTAAGTGGGATGGTCTTCTTTGTCCTAAGATTAAGCAAGTGTTGGTGAAGACAATGAAAGAAGCTGAAGAGTGCATCCAAATAAGGTCAGATGAGTGGAATTTCCAAATTATGGGACCTTCAACTCAGTGTTGATGTTAGAGAGAGGAGATGCAGCTGTAGGAAATGGGATCTCACTGGAATCCCTTGTAAACATGCATGGTCTGCTATCTGGTGCAGAAATGAAGTTCCTGAATCTTATGTGCGCAATTGTTACAAAGTGGAAATCTATCTGAAATGCTTATGAAACTCCTATCTTTCCTTTAAATGGACCTGAATTGTGGCCTGCCAGTACACTAGAGCCTCCATTAACACTCAATTACACAGATAAAGTAGGTAGGTCTCAAAGAATTAGGAGGAGAGAAGCAGATGAGCCACATGTTGCAAAAAATCCTCATAGGCTGGTTGGAGTTAAAAGATCACAAGTGCAGAACATGTGGAGGCACAAACCACAACTCTAAAACATGCAAAAAGGGTCCTGGTATGAGTGTTGAGCAAGGAAACCAAAGGAATGAAGTTGAAGCTTCAACTCAAGCTTCAGTTTCAATTCCACAACTACCACAACCACCAATCCATACTACAAAAAATAAAGAAAAATTACAGGTTTATAATTGTATTATTTTTTTAATTTCAGTATCTCAATGTATATAATATATAAAACTTCAGTTATGCAAGCTATTTGTTCAAAATTGCAGGTTAGAAGACCTCAGAAAAAAATGACAGTAACACGCAGAAGGAACATAATTGGATCCTTTAAGGTATTTAAATTAATATTTTAATAATTATGTTTTTTAATAAGTATTTACATTAATTTATATTTTTTTTTTTATTTATTATAGCCAAGTCAATTTTCTCCAACAATCCAGGCTCCAATAATTGTTAAAGGAGGTGTCAATTTTATAACACTATCCAATTTAGCATTATCAGTGACCGATCAGCTTAAGGGAAACTCAGGCTCTGAAATTGGTGCAAGTTCTTCTAAGTCAGCCTCTGCATCCATCACAAATTTCAAGGCATCTTCCAAGTCACTAAGTCAGTAGCTGCTTCCAAGTTAGCCCATGTTTTTAAGTCAGCCCATGGTTCCAAGTCAGCCTCCAAGATGAAGAAGTGATCAAGTTTGATCAAAATCGTACTTTTGTTATTTTGTATGTTTGAATATTTGATATTTGGATTTGATAGCTAGTTTGAGGTTTGTTTGAATGTTTGAATGTTGGATGTTTGGCTCTTTAATGTTTGATGGTTTGTTAGGATTTGAACACACTTGATTTGTATGAGATGTTTTGATTTGTTTTTTGAACACAATTGGTTTGTATGGGATGTTTGATGATAATTTCAAGTTATTGAATGTTTGATATTTGAATTTCAAATTAATGAATAAGCATCTGTTTTTGAATTATGTATATATAAGTTCCATAATTGATCAATACATACAAGGTACTTGATGGAAACCAACATTATAGCTAGCAAATGAAAATTGACCAATACAAGAATTACTACCAAATTCACCAAATTCAAGAATATAACAAATTACCCAATTCACCATTACAAGAACTACTAACAACTGAAAATTGATCATATAAGAACTACTACCAAATTCACCAAATTCAAGAACTACAACCAAATTACCAAATCCACCATTACAAGAACTTCTAACAACTGAAAATTGACCATAAACAAAACATTACAAACAACATCCACATACAACCAAAATATTACATAGACCCTCTTTCTATGCCAATTTTCATGACATATATGGCAATGAACAGAAGTATGACCATAAAGACTCCAACTTGCAACTTCATCCTCTTATTGTACATTGCAATCAAACCCTCCAGTTTCTTGGCTCTTTTCTGAATAATCCTTCTTTCCTTTGCAAGTTCACCTTCTAGCTTTTTCCATTTTTCTTCTTTTTCTTTGTAACAAGCCACTTCACCTTCAACTTGGTTTAATATTTCTTCTTTCTCTTTGAAGCAAGCTAATTCACCCTCTAGTTTGTTCACTCTCCTAAGCAGTCTGGTGATAATCATCTTAGATCTACCGCATATTTCAGGATCCAACCACTTGAATGCACCACAGTAGGTTGGTTTCTGTAACGAATCCCAAAATTTGAATCAAAGGAACACATTTTACCCATAATTTGGGCAAGCTTGAAATAACAAATTCAATATACAGTAATGAACAAATAAAAGGAAAGCATTCTACCCCATAATTTTGAGCAACCTTGATATCTTCTCCCTTGATTGTCTCGCGTCCATGATGTAATCACTGGCAAAAGAAATCCACATTTACAATTGATTGTGTAAAATATTAAATGAGCATCAGAGCTCGTTGAGGATGAGCTCCGACAGCCATAGTTAGATCCTTTACTCATATTTTATGCTACATCGGAAACATTGAGGTGAAATCAACACTACAAGTAGAATAATTACCAAAATCGAAAATTGTTCAAAGATAACAACTTTGAGGAAACTTACCAAATTGATTTTTTTTTTTTTTGCAATTGTGACGCTTTAACTACTCGGACATTCAAAAACTTGAGAAGACGATTCTGCTATTTTTGAATTTCACCTCAATTGAAGGATTGGAAATGGAATTTTAGGGATTGGATTTACGGGTTCGTTGGGGATATGGCGAATTAGGGATTTTAAAATAGAAATAGGGGAGGAGAATGACGTGTCGCTCCACATCACGTTTCATCGGCCAAGTAGACATTGGGTGTTGTCCAGCTCGACATTTAACGGCCACATAGACGTCATGTGAGCCATGCGTACTATTTCCGTCGAAGTTAGCTGCCGACGTTAACGACAGAACATAAAGTGATCAAAACAGGCAAGTTTGAGGACATATTTCGTGAATTGAATATTTGAGGACATAAATCGTGTTAGTGGTAAAGTTTAGGGGCATAAACTGTAATTTTCCCAAATCCCCTTTTCCGTTAAAAGTTAACACCGTTAACTAAAGAAGGATTTTACGCAATTTTTGCATAAAGAAAAGGATTTAGTGCATATTTTGTACAATACAAGGGATTTTATGCAAAATTAATTCATTTAAAATTTTCACATCATTTTCTTAAATAAAGTCCAACACATTTATTCAGTTACTATGATGAAAAATATAAATTTAATAGGTGTAGTGGGTATTTAAAAAATAATAATTTTATATGATATAATTTATTAATGTATTTAAGAATTTTGATTTTTTAAACATATAATTATTTTATTAGAATTATCATCTATTTTTATAATTTATTCTGGATTAATTATTGTGAAAATAACATAAATAATTTGAGAATTTGTTTCATCTTCCATCTTGAATATTAATTTTTTTGGTTTTCATATTTTAAATTAATAGATGTATTCGACTTAATTTAAGAAAATAATTTGAATTTTAAATGAATAAATTAATTTTGCGTAGACCCCCTTGTGCACGTTGCAAAACCATGCATCAAATCCCCATATGTTATTAGAAAAACTTGCATAAAATCCCCTATATAGTTAACGGTGTTATCTTTTCACAGAAAGAGATTCCGTGCAAAGTATCATTTTACGTAAAAAAATTTGGAGAAAAGGACTTACACGAATATTACTATTTTAACATGGAAAAACTAGATAGTTTGTACTTATTGCAATTCTTCAAACTATTACGCTTATCAGAATATTCAATGGTAGGATAATTGTCTGCATAATCATTACATACTGAAATGGTTAACTCGAAAAGAACCTATAACTTTAAAGGAGAAATTTGCTAAAAGTCTCTCAAAAATATTTTATATATCTAATAAAGCGGTTCAATATTTTGAATTTGCTATAAGTCTTCCAGGCAGCTCAATTGGACAACTTAGATTGGGAATAGACAACATAGACCAAAAATAGATAGCTTAGTTGGAGAGTTTAGACTAAAATAGACAATCTAGACTGAAAGTTGACAGTTTAGTAGGAGAATTTAGATTAAAATTAGATTGAAAATCAATGAAAATCACATGATTCCAGTTATGTGGTTGGCGAAAATTAGATGGCTGCCGACAAAGGACTGATAGGGATGAGCGGAAGAGTGAAAGAAATGCAATTTTTTGGTGTGGGTGTTGTTCTGGTTACGGATTCCGGAACAGAGGGCACCGTTCTCGTTCCAGAACGGCCGTTCCGGCGAACCATGGATAACAAGGATTTCGGTTGGATTGATGAAATCAAGAAGATACCCTTAAGAAGGCTGAAAATCATCAATTTTGGCCAAAAACCCAACAACAGAAATTAACTTTTGGGGCAAAATGCAATAAAAAAAATATTTTGAAGGGGTGTTGTATTTATTTATTTATTTATTTTTTTAATTTTAAGAGGGGAAGTGCGATAATTGAAAATGGAAAATGTCAAGGGGGTGAAATGCGATTTCTTCAGGAAAGAACAAGTATGTTCTGGAAGATGTTCGAATTGCACCAAAATCCGTTTGGCTCTGGAAATTTCAAGAATTATCAGATCACCATATAAATACGCGTGCTCCAACCAAATCCCATCGAAAATTAAAAACTTATTATCTGCGAACTATCAATTTCTTCATCAACAACCAAATCAAGCAGTTCGTCATCCAGCATTATTTTTTGCAGAAATGTCTCTGATTCCGAGCTTGTTTGGCAATGGCCCTCGGAGTAACGTGTTCGATCCACTTTCATTGGATGTTTGGGACCCATTTCAGGGCTTCCCATTCTCCTCCGCCGGAGAAACAACCGCGGTGGCCAACGCTAGGATCGACTGGAAAGAAACGCCGGAGGCACACTTGTTCAAGGTAGATGTTCCCGGGTTGAAGAAGGAAGAAGTGAAAGTTGAGGTTGAAGATGGGAATATTCTTCAGATAAGCGGAGAGAGAAGGAAGGAGAAAGAGGAGAAGAATGACAAGTGGCACCGCGTCGAGAGGAGCTCCGGCAAGTTTATCCGCCGATTCAGGATGCCGGAGAATGCTAAATTGGAGGAGGTGAAGGCGGCGATGGAGAATGGGGTGCTGACTGTCACCGTGCCGAAAGAGGAGGTGAAGAAGCCTGAGGTCAAGTCCATTCACATATCTGGTTAATGTTTTAATTTTGTATTCCAGCAAGTTTTGGTTTGTGTGGTAGTTGTAATGAACAATGAATAATGTTGGTTTTGTTGCCCAAGTGAAATATCAATATTGTATTATCGAATAAGCACTCAAATTCCCTACTTTCCCAAACACCATCCACATATACCTCAAATTCACCATTTGATTGCTGGCAAATCATTAGTACTCCTTCGCAAATACTAAATACTCTCCACCCTCGAATTCCATCCACTTTGCGTCGTCCGAAATCCATTAATTGCCAAATGAGACAGAACTTCTTGCGTTCTAGGCGTTGCGGCGAACCATAGTCCCAATAGTTCATAGTTCATGTTTAATTTTGTCATTGTTAAATAGAAAAATTCAGAAATATGTATTTAAAGCGTGCTTATAATTAAGCTAGATTATTATTTTTTAACATGTGGATAAAATATAGAGCAAATTCCATTTTCCACCCCTTGTACTCTGGGTCGGGATCACCTTACCACATTTTACTTCCAATTGGATCCATTTAACCTCATGTACTTGTAAAATTATCCCAATGTAGTCCGCAGGGTTAGTTTTCAGATTCCTGACCTTGACACCGTTTGGTCAAGGCTGGAAAATAACAAACATGACCATGGCTTATCCACTTTCCATTGTGTTGTCCTTTTGGTAATTTATAACTTGTTCTACGATTTGGTGACTCCGATTGGGTCGTCTGTAAAGGATGGACAAATATGTGAGAATATTGAAGAGTACCGATTCTTCGTCCGCCAATCCACACACTTCCGTAGCCGCCAATAATTAGTGCAACTTCTGCGATGATAATCGGAAGGATAAATGAGAGGAGCCAATTACTATTCTCCATGTTTTGTTGAGTAATTTAAGGTGAAACTTTTACATAATTGATGGGGTTGCTTTGAATTGAATTAGGCTACAAATACTGTGAACAAGAAGAGTTTCAATGCCAACATCAGCCCACTAAACAGAGGCTCCGACGCTCTGGCGATCCAAATTTTCCCTACTTGATAAAATAAAAAAAATGCAAGTAAATCAAGATTGATTTGAACGTACTGTTGAGTTCATATGGAATTAGTATTTCCAACTCAAACCACACAATACTTTTCCATCTTAAAATGGTTCAAAGATTTTCCTATATATATACTCTAATTCAGTGCTTCTATACATTTCTTGATAAACTACTATGTCTGCCTAGAAAAGGAGGACAAACAAGAACTAATTTTACAAAATTGCGATCCTCCTAAACATGTATATCGATCATGTTTTGCTCAAACGAGAGGTTAAATCAATAAATGACTCTTCACTGCAAGGAATTGTGATTCCACCCATCGTATGATGGAATCCAAATTCTTCTTCGGCCTGGAATAGCAATTCTTGAAAAGAAGGATGGTTTAAGTACGATAATGGAATAACAAATCGCTTTTTCTCGCCCTCTCCAACATAAACAGCCAAATGCCCTTTTGGAACTTCAACTAATCTTCTTTCGTTGGATAGTGACCGTCTCAATATTTGACGGATTGCCATCTTAGTTTGTGTGAAGTGAATTTTGCTTTGGTCAAGTGAAAACGAAGAGGTATTTGAAATAAGTGAAAGCTGAGAAGATAAGAGTATTTTGATCACGAGTTGTTGTTTGTAATCAAGAAATGGTGTTGTATATATAGGCTAGAAAGAAATGATGAATTCTTCAGATATCGACATAACACGGTCAACATAAATGTGGTTGCTCTATGAAACTCGAAAAAAACATATGCATATGAAGTCACATGGATTTGTCTTTGAAAAATGAAATGAATTCAAGGCAACAAGAATTTGTGTGATAGAAAATGTTGTATCCTACCAACTCTGGCAACATGGCCCCTGAAACCATCATCTCAACATCTCTATTTATTTCGATATATCTACTAATTAGGCCATCTTATCCTAAAGGCCACATTCAATTATATTCAGCGGGTCAATGTGACGTTTTCTTGCTGGTGATGTTAGGAATGATATAAGGGTCCCTCACAGTTGACAAAAAATTCATTACGTTGCTCTAATTTATAGACAAAACCATGTGATTATTCATGTGCTTTTGTTTCTCTAACTTCTCTAGCCATCACATATCCTTTGGTCTATTCATCACCATTCAATCCAGCTAAGGAAATAGCATTTACAAGTACATCTATATATATGCTTATACGACACATATCTAAATTCACAACCAGCCTTCAAAACTCAACTTCTCATATATTCCTTGATTCATTTTCATCTTCGACTTCACAAAAATTTACTTTAACAAAAAATTCAATGGCCATTCACAAAATGCTTAGGCGGTCTTTATCAGCGGAAAAGAGATCAACTGAAGTTCCAAAGGGTCATTTGGCTGTTTATGTTGGGGAAAACAATAACAAGCGATTTGTAATACCGTTATCGTATTTGAATCATCCTTCATTTCAAGAACTGCTATGTCAAGCTGAAGAAGAATTCGGATTCCACCATCCAATGGGTCGCCTTACTATTCCTTGCAGTGAGGATTTATTCGTCGATCTAACATCTCGCTTGAGCAGAGCATAATATATATACTAGGTCTTAGAGCATATAATTTTTGTTAGCTAGATTCTTTTCATATTTTGTACACACAGAAGATACTTTGTCGGATACAAAATGTATTCCCGCACAAATTAATCGTAATACCTGTGGAAGATTTTGTATACTAGTGTTGAGCCACTTTGGTACATGGATGCCTTATCTACTTACAAATTTTTATCGATATATCTAGTCCTGCCATCATGAATATATTGCCTATTATTTTTACCCACTACCAAGAAAAACAAAAAACTTGTCATATGCTACTAAATTGTACTTGTCAGAATATAAAGAAGGCAACTCATTGCGAATTTCATGCAACCCCCAACATTTGAATCTGCAGAAGAGTACTTAAGTGCAGGGCCGGCCCTGATGGTAAGCCACACAAGCAAGTGCTTTGGGCCCCCCAATCCCAAGGGGCCCCCAAAAATAAATATTTTAATTATATATATTTAGATATATTTTATATTATTCTTACACTAAAATTGATTGTGGTATTTTGTTGTTTTTTGAGATAAGGCTGTTGGTAATTTCAATACAAAAAAAGCAAGCTTTCGTTATTATTTATTAAATTATATATAATAATGATTTTGTTGGTTATATATTTTACTTCAAAAAATGCTAAATGATTGATATTATAGTAATATTTTATTGATATGATTTATGCGTTTTAGCCCTATTATCTCTAATATAAGTATATATTTTAATCTTTTTATTGTGTTATCAAAAAAATTCACAAAGTTTATTGCTTTTTAATATTTATGTATTTTTAATAGATTAGTAAACTTTTAGTAGCTCAATAAGGCATTAATTTAAAAAAAATCGAAAAATAAGTATTAACAAAAAAAAAAAGGTAATACATATAAGGGAAAAAAAATCTACTTTTGTCGAAGCTCGCTTAGGGCCCCAATTTTTGCAGGACCGGCTCTGTTTTCAGGGGTCCTCCCTTTATTCTATTTCTTTTTTTTTTTTTTTTTATGTTTGTACGGGTTGGTGTTAAAACTTAAATTTTCCGAGGGGGTTGAAGTGCTATTTGCCCTATTACATGTGCGACGTTATGAGGAAAGCAAAGTGTCTTTCATAATTCTATGCCATCGTCGAAACTCTGCCTCACAGCCAGTGGCGAATCTAGGATTTTTGCCAAGGGTGTTCGGAATTAAATATAGTAAAAAATATAATGGTTGGGTAAAAGTTTACGGGGGTTCGGGGGCAGCGCCCCCTATCTTTTTTAATACTATACACATTAAATAATAAAAATATGTAATATTTTCAAATTTAAAGGGATTATTTTACAAATTTTGGGCTAATTTATGAAATATTTAGACATAAAATTGGTGAAAATATTAAATGAGTGGTAAACATATTAAAGTTGCAAGTTACAAAATGTGTATTTCATTAGCATATTCTGAGTTTTCAAAATATAAAAAAAATACTCACAGACGTAAATTTAGAAAACAATGAAATAATATATATATATATATATATATATATATATATATATATATATATATATATATATATATATATATATAACATTCAAAATTTTGGAATAATTTAGATAATATAAAATATTAAAGGAATTGTAAATAAATTAGAGTTGCAAATAGCAAAATATACGTTTTATTAGGAGATTTTGATTTTTTGAAATATGAAAAAATACCCTCATGCATATTCAAAAATATTGAAAACAATTGAAATATTGTATGTAATGGAAATTAAATCTTGCACGGGTAAAAAATTTATACCAACAAACTACAAACCAATTTTGAAAGTTAAATTTTAAATAATATACAGAAAATTTAGAATTTAAAAAGGAATATATACAGAAAACTCAGAAATAAAAAAACAACTAAATAGAGTAATATACAGAAAAATTAGAAATAAAGAAAAATTAGAAATAAAGAAAAATTAGAAATAAAAAAACAACTAAATAGGGAGGATAATGTTACAAGAAGGTCTCGAACTCAGGACCTCCTTGGAATGGAAGGAAGAACTCTTACCACTTCAGCTACAGCTTTACATGTTCAAATTACAGATTTACAGTTATATAAAGGGATATATATAGGAATTTTTTTTTTTTTTAAATCAAGGGTGTGCAGTTGCACACCCTTGGACCATACTAGATACGCCACTGCTCACAGCCACACACATATAATCACACACCTACATATAGAAATATGGGGAGAATTACATTTTATGTCCCTAAACTTAAAATAATTTTTGTCCCTAAACTTTTGCATTCACGAAATATGTCCTCAAATTTGTCATTTTTTAACAATTTGTGTTCCGCCGTTAACTTCGTCAGTCAAATTGTCACGTGCGGCGCACGTGATGCCGACGTGGCCGTCAAATGTCGAGCTGGCACACAAATCCGTCGACCTAAGCCCAATTCCAAACTTCCCAGATCCTCAATTCTCACTTCACGCTTCACACCCGAAACCCTAGCCATCAAATCTCAAAAATTTCTTTCAATCCCATAAACACACTCCCAAATTTACAATCAGGTCTTCAATGCTGTTCGAAGTCATACGGAGTTCAAATTCATAAACCCATAACAAATTCCAAATTCATAAAATCGAAGTTCAAAGATAAGAACTTTGAAGAAACTTACTAAAATTGGAGATTGTTGGTAGATTTGTGATACTTCAGTTCCACAAATGTTCGATTATTTGCGAAATTAGGATTATGCGATCTTGCTGGTGCTGAATTTCACCTCAATTTGAGGATTTCTATGGGGAATTTGGGGATAGGGTTTATCTGATCAGGATCAGTGAATTGGGGTAATGAGAAATTAAGGATTTCATAACTTAAATAGGGGGTGAGAATGATGTGTCACTCCACGTCATATTCAATAGGCCAAATTGACGTAGGGTTTAAGCCAGATCAATCTTAACAGCCATGTCGATATCATGTGTGCCACATGTGATATTCCGTTTAACTTGAGTGGCGAAGTTAACGGCCGCGCACAAATTGTTAAAAAGTGGCAAGTTTGAGGATATATTTCATGGATCCAAAAGTTTGAGGACAATCATTTTAGTGGTATAGTTTCGGGACATAAAATGTAATTTTCCCTAGAAATATGCAACCACACAAACGCAAACATATACCATTTTGGTTACAATCATGAAAACCAAAAAGAAAATAATATGAGGAATTGTTCGGTGATGGCAGATGGTGATGTTGGTGGTGATGTAGGCACAAGAGATTTAAGTTATTTTCTTCAGTTTATTTTAACTAAGCTTTTTGGTCATCCATGTACCTAAACCGTGTAATTAAACTATGCAAATAAGCTTTCTAAGCTGTCTAATTAGCCCAAGGTCATGGTAAAATTATATGAATTACATGTTTTTTAGCTAATCATTTGTAACGTCACTGAGCTCTGTAAATAAGATTTATAAGATGTATGTGTAAGTTGTTTATGTGTTGTGGATGTGCATCTATCCTTGTTTTAGTTTTTTATTTGTTGTATTTTAACTATGTTGTGGCTTATTAATATAATTAAGTTGTGCAAATCATCTTCACCGTTACTGTTAAAGTTGTTGTTTATTAATAGAACTAACTATGCAAATCTTCGTCACCGTAGGGACTTTTAATCTACTTGTCCTTAAAGCTATAGACAATATTTTTTAGGGTCTATCAACTAATTTCCCTTAAATTCTAAATTGAATTATTCCGGCCATTCTTAAAAGGAAATAAACCCTCCAAAAAGAGGCATATGCTACTTGAATTGGAGCAAGCACACGGTATTCTATACTAAAAGGCAAAAGAATATTTTGCTATGTTGCTATGTGCTCAGTGCGTAGCTGCGTGAACTAGAACATGTTACTGCACTTGTATTTATCTCTCTGGCTATAAGCAATTATATGGTGAGAAACATACAGTTTTGGTCCCTCAAGTCTTCACTGATTACATATTTGGTCCTCATGTTCCCAAAAAACATATCTTGTCCCTCATATTTTAAAAATTCAACATTTTCAGTCATTTCAGTCAATTTTTTGTTAGTACTGAGGAAATCAAGCGTGTGTCCGTCACTTCCTTAACTGAAGGAGTAACTGTAAATTGACGAAAATGACAAAAAATGTTAAATTATTGAAACATTAGGTACCAAATGTGTTTTTGGTGAACATGGGGGACCAAATGTGTTTTTGGTGAACATGGGGGACTGAATATGAAATCAGTGCAAACTTGAAGGGTAAAAAATGCAATTTTCCCATTATACGGTTATTTTCCTATGTGAGATTCTTCGTCTGAACCAAAATAGGCAAAATGGCTCAGGTTTGGTATTCAAAATATGTCATATGTATTAATATATTAATTTGTGCGGGAATACAATTTGTATCCGACAAAGTATCTTATGTGTTTACAAATATTAAAATATATAAATCTAGCTAACAAAAAGTATATGCTCTAAGACCTAATATTATGTTATGCTCAAGCGAGATGTAAGATCAAGGAATAAATCCTCAGTGCAAGGAATAGTAAGGCCGCCCATTGGATGATGGTATCCAAATTCTTCTTCGGCTCTGCATAGTAATTCTTGAAACAAAGGATGATTTAAGTATGATAATGGAATTACAAATCGCTTCTTATTGTTTTCTCCAACATAAACAGCCAAATGCCCCTTTGGAACTTCAATTGACCTCTTTTCAGCCGATAAAGACCGTCTTAGAATATTGTGAATAGCCATCGATTTTTGTTGAAATAAATATATATATGAGAGTTTTGTGAAGCAAGTGAAATATGAGAAGTAGTTGAGTTGTGAGTTGTGAAGGCTGGTTGTGAGCATATATATATAGATGAACTTGTAAATGCTCTATACCCTTACTTGGATTGAATGGTGATGAAAAGGCCAAAAGATATGTGGTGGCCGGAGAAGTTAGAGAAACAAAAGCACATGAAATATCACATGGTTTTGTCCTTTATTTTGTGTGATTCAAAATTAAGTGTCCTACAAACTATGGCAACAGCCAACATGACCCTTAATAATGACCATACAACATATCATCACTAGTTTTCTCTTGTAATTAATTTGAAGATATAGAAAACTCTTATATATATATATATATATATATATATATATATATATATATATATATATATATATATATATATATATATATATTTCTCTTTTATTTGGATACATGTGCTATTTTGGCCACATTTATTCGGAGGGTCCTATGACATAGGTTTTCTTGCTGTTGCTATTGTCAAATCATTAATTATTTTGCTCTAAAATGTTGTGAAAGATTATTGTTCATGTGCTTTTGTTTCTTTAAGTGTGGCAGAAACCACATAAACATTGGCCTCAATCCAGTGCATTTCTAAACTCACAAGTCACAAGGATATGTACATTTCTTCTAGTGTACTTTCATCTATATATATATGTGCAACGACACATTTCTAAACTCACAAGTCACAGCCAGCTTTCAAATCTCAAGTTCTCATAATTCACTTGCTTCACAAAAAACTCATATATTCCTTCTTTTTCATCTTCGGCTTCACAAATTAAAGATTGATTCTAACAAAGTTCGATGGCTATTCACAAAATTCTTGGACGGTCTTTATCGGCTGAAAAGAGGTCAACTGAAGTTCCAAAGGGGCATTTGGTTGTTTATGTCGGAGAAAGTGAAAAAAAATGATTTGTTATTCCATTATCGTATTTGAATCATCATTTGTTTCAAGATTTGCTATCCCAAGCTGAAGGAAAATTCAGATTTCATAATTCACTATTCCTTGCAGTGAGGATTTATTCATCGACCTCACCTCTCACTTGAGCAGAACATGAATTATATACATATATATACACACGCAAACACACAAAAGGAAAGGACAACTCGTTATTTTGACCAACTCTGGCAACATATGGTCCTTAAACCACCCTAGACAAGTTTTCTCTTGGTAACTATGTGACCCTTGCATGTTCTAACTCATGCAGCTGTGCCGTCAGCACATAGCAAACTATTATTTCACCTTTTAGTAGAGAATACTGTGTGTTTTCTACAATTCAAGCTGCATAGGCCTCTTTTTGGAGGTTTATTTCTTTTTGGTATTTGCTGTTATAAATCTAGGGTAAATGACAAATAGGTTCATGATAAGACCACTTAATTAATATAGGGACATCCACTTTTTTTGTTTTCCATATAAATCTACCTCATTCAAACTTATTTGCAAATAAGGAAAACCCTTTTCTGTATACCAAAATTACCCCCACCTCCTTGAAACCCTAATTCAATTCTAATTTCATGATTTACTTCCCAATTTTGACCGCCACTGCCAGTCAGCCACCGTTAATTTTTTATTTTATTTTTCATAATTTTTTTTTTCCGGCAGGTCAACCGCCGGTCTCCGACGTTGACTTTTGTTTTTCGGAAAACTTGTTTTTTCTTTAAAAAGAATTGTTTTAATTAATATTACTGTCTTGACTGCTAAATTACCGTCTTCAACGGTAATTTAACTGTCTGAGATAGTAATTTAATTAATTTTATCGTCTTGGCCTGCAATTTTGATGTTTTCGACCGTAATATTACTGTCTCATGCAATAATATAATTTTTTTGGGACAGTAATATTAGTAATATCGATGTTCGTAAAGTAATATTCATAATATTACTGTCCAGGGCAGTAATATGAGTGTTCGGGAAACTAATATTACTATTTGGGACAGTAATATTATTGTTTTGGTATTCAATATACTATCTCAGACAATAATTTTGTTGTTAACACAGTAATTTAGAGATATTTTTTTTTTAAAAGTCAACCCCGGAGATCAGCGGTCAACGGCGGTTGACAGCCGGATAAAAATTTCAGGAAAAAAAATTGCAAAAAAAATAAAAAATAAACGCCTTATCTGGCCGGAAAAAAATTATTTTCTGAAAAAAAAAATTCAAAAAATTATAAAAATTGGGGTTAAAGTGATATATTTGTTTAAATTCGTGGTCAATGTGTAATATTGATGAAGTTAGAGTATAATGGATGGAATTGATAAAATTTATGTGGGTCCATTACAAATAAGCCGATCATCCCATACTTATTCATAAAGGGGTTCAGACAAAAAACTATTTTACAAAAAAGTCCACACATTGCCCAGAGATGTATAAATGACTAAAATATCCCCTCACAATTTAATATGCTCGAATTTCATCAATTAATTTAATATAACCTCAATTTGACTACAAATTTCACAAATTATTCAATTTTCACCCAAAATTCAATTTGAGTACAATTTCGCCCATCGTCGTCGTTGACTTTTTTTTTCCTTTCTCCTGATTTTTCCGTTGGTTTCCGACGTTGACTTTTTCATTTTTTTTTCTCTCCTGATTTTTCCCCGATTTTCGGCATTGACTGCCAGTCAACGCCGGTGTCCGGTGTTGACTTTGTCGTTTTTTTTTTGTTTTTTTAGAATTATTTTTTATTGTAACATCTTTTTGCCCACATTTAAACATCAATATTGATATGGTTGACATTCATATTAACTATATTACTGTTTAACATAATAATATTAACTATACAACAGTTTAACACAGTAATATTTTTATATTACTTTCTGTCACATTAATATTAAAACAAGAAAAATCACTATTACTGTGTGATAGAGTAATATTAATATGTTGCCCGTTCAATAAAGGCAAACATAATAAAAAAAATAAAAGAAGTAATATTGATGTGGTTGACTGTAATATACTGTCAACCACATCAATATTACTGTAATAGTAATATTACTATAACATCAATAATATTATTGTGTTTACAGTAATATCGCAATAGTAGACAATAATATTATTACGTTAGTCGGTCAACAAATCAAACAAAACAACAAAGCGAAAAAAAAATATTGATGTGGTTGACAGTAATATTATAGTGTTTACAGTAATTTTACCGTCAACGACAGTAATATAATTAGGGTGAATTACAGTTTGCACCCCTGTACTATCGAAAATGTCGCATTCACCCCCATGTACTATCAAAAACTACAAAAACCCCCCTAATTTTAACAGTCCATGTTCAGAAACTTGACACCGTTAAAAATTACAATGACTTTACTTTTATATCCTCACATTTTAATAAAATTTATTCCATTTTTTTTTCTCCTCCAAATTGCTGTTCATCTTCCCCTCTCTTCGTACACAAACCAAACCTATTGCCTACATACCAGGCTTTTTATTTCTCCCACCGCCACCACCCGACCATCCACAACCAAAATCTTGAAACCCGAGAAGAAGATGATCGGTTTTACCACCCCACCACCGATCCCCCCCTCGAAACAATACACCATCACGCCATGGGTACGGCGGATGAAGATGCGCCGCCGCTAACTTCCGATGTCGTGGATAAAGACGCGTCACGACAACATCTCCTGCTGGCCAGGGTGAGTTCTTCCATGGAGAATTATAAGCAAACTCTAAGAGAGAAGAGAACAAAGTTCTGAAATGAAATTAGGAGTTTAGGCCGTAGATTTTTGGAAGCGGAGGAAGCTTTCGGGATTCTTCGACCTCCAGTTGTTGTAATGGTGATGCGATTGAGCTCGGTAAGATGGTGTAAGTGAAAAACAATTAAGATACTGCAAGTGTTGGTTTTGTGAAAATGTGTTTATCAAAAGTGTTTTTCTAAAGGTGCCAAGTTTGATAATTTCTTTAATGTTATTTCTAATTTTTTGGGCAACGTGGTCATTCTTCAGGAACGTTTACCTAAAGAGAAAGCACACCTTAATTGCCTAAAACGAACGCCCTTCTACCATTTAGTATTACCATTTGCGAAAAAACAAGAACTTCCATCCACAGTAAGGGGGGCACAAGATGGTAGTATACAACTACTACTTACGTATGACAGAAAACGAGGTGCATTTGAAATAGCAGGCAAAGCTCTCACTATACATCCAAACGAGTTTGACTTGATATTTGGAATCCAATCTGGAACACGGGTGAAATATTCAAAGAGAAGTAGTATTCAACAGTCTCTACTCGGAAGGAGGAGATTCCAACGCTACACAAAGGTTTCGCCAAAAATACTCAAAAAATAGTTGATGAAAATTGTTGGAAGCAACATTGAAGAGGATATTGAGGACACCGTACGTATATTAATAGTACATATATAGTCCAGTTTTTTATTCACAATTTCAGGAGATGTGGTAAGTGCGTGGATATTCAAGCTGTGCGACGACATCGATCAATTAAAAGAGTACAATTGGGGGAAACTGGTTGTTGATTTGCTAATGAAGTATGTAAAGGATAATGAGGCAGAAGTGGTGAAAGGTTGCGTACCTCTCTTTCTGGTAAGTCATTTGTTTTGTAATAATTGAACTATATTAGTTTTTGAACACTAAAACAAACTGCTTAGTTTAGTGAACATTTTCTGATTATAACTGTATTTGATGTTTATCTGTGCTTGTTTATTTTAAGAGACTGATGTTTTCTATTACTTGATTAATTAAACAATTGTTTTGTAAAATAATAGTTCACTTACAACTAAATGAAAATGTATGCACACATCCAGTACTCTTTTTACAGTAATAGTTTATTTATTCCATGACTATTTTGTAATATTTCTGTGGTTACATATTTGTTTAACTATTTATCAAGTTTGAATTAATTGACTACAGTCTACAAATATTAATTTTCATTATTTGTGTTAACCTATTTTTTGTGACGTAACTTGACAATCCTGGATGTGTGAACGAGTCAATCTTGTCGAACCAGTATGCCCAGACGCATTTCCAAGATTCAGAAAATGGAGCTTGAAAAACTTTTAAGGAAAAAATTGTTTGTACAACCATAAAGGACATCACCAACGAACAAGTAATAGACACCCCCATAATAGAGACTGATGTGGAATGTTCATTGTTGAGTGGCAATTATGAAGAACAAGATGTTAGTGAAAACGAGCCGCATGACTATGAGGACGAGGAGAGTGATGATTCAGAAGCAAGAAACGAACCGGATGATAGTGAAAGTGAATCGGTTGATGCAGATGATGAGAACAATGACGAACATGACCATGATGCACCTGCCACAACAAGTCCCATTGAGCAATCTTCGGGGAGCAAGAAACGAAAATATGTTGACGAACACAACGATGATTTGTTGACACAGAACACAATACTTAAGGCAAGGCTTGCATGTGCTTTACAGGAGGCAAAAACATGGCGAACAAAAGCAACCAATGTTTCGGACCATAACAAAGAATTAGAGCAACGAATTGAAACCTCAACTGACCCACAGTTATCTACAGAGTTGGAGGTTCTCCAAGGATGTCGGGAGTACGAGCTAGAAAAAAACGCCGATCTTTCAGAACAAATACGAAAACTAAAGGACGCCAATGAGAATCTACATACCACTATCGAAACGCTTGTCGCAGATAAAGAGGAGTTGAAAGCTGAGATGACAACCATAAAGTTATGCAACAACAGCTTGGTAGAAGCAAACAAAAGGCTCAACACAGATTCCAACAATGAGAAGGGGAGTGACGGCATACAAGAAAATGCTCGGAAGCCAGAAAATCAAGACATGCCATCGTGGAACTTGTTGTCTCAAACACAAGCTGCAACACAAATGCAATCAACCATTATGAGTACATCGAGCCTCGAAATAGTAGATCTCAGTACAAAATGTAAGATTTTGGAAGACAAACAAGAGGAACTGCTCAAAGCAAGCAATGCAAATCAAATCGCTCACAAATGGTGATTGTGAAGACCAAACAATCACACTTGGTGCAGAAGATGAAGACTTCGAGCTCACCACTTCCGTAATAATTAGTTTCGTCTTCCCCTCATACTTTTTGGTAACAAACGCATCACTAATTTTAATTCATAGTTCATACCGGTTTATATTTTTTCAATTGAACCGTGTGTTGCAGAACTACGTAAGGGGGAGGCCTGATGGGATATTCGATCCACCCGATGACATAATTAACTACCGTTATCTGGCGTTCCCCATTCTCCACATTGGTACAGCGGAAAATAGATGTCAGGATCACTGGACATTACTTGTATTAGACAAATTTCATGGGGATTGGATATTCTACAATTATATGCGTCGTCGCTCCAATGATTATTATCTTGCAGAAGCAATGGAACTGGTAATTTTTCCATTATACATTGTTTTCATATTACAATATAATACACCTTCAACTTACATAAATGTACAAATTCAGAAAAAGGCCCTGGAAAAAACAGCAGAACATCACAACCTCATACTCATACATGTCCAGAAGAGAAAATCATTTCACTCGCTGAAGCGCCACAACAAAAGGACGATAGTGTTGATTGTGGTGTGGTGGTTTTGTATCTGATTAAAAAACTTTTCGAGCGACAACCAATCATAAAGGACGAAGCTGAATCAAAATACTCAGCAATGCGAACTGAAATTGTGAAAACCTTTCTAGATTGGGGAAGCAAAAAGATGAATTTGAGTAAAAAAAATCGCTTGATTATTTTATCCCAGCAGCATGAAAACATGGCAGCCCGGTAATCTGCCACTCCCAACATGAGCATGTCTTCTCTCGAACATCTATAATCGCAGTTGGATCCGTGTACATTTCCCACACAAATTCAGAAGCTTGCTTAACTAACCAAGGCTTCGCTTTATCAACTAGATCTTTCACAAGTTTATCAATTTTAAATGTTAACACAGTGTGCCAATAATTTCCCTTAATAAGCCTGTCACAAAGCTGTTCCATTATCTTACTTCGAATACCATCAATCAAATTAGTGACTAGCAGAAAATGTTCATCCATTACTTGCGCATTCCAAGATTCACAACCATTTGACGTCATCTGGCCATATCTTGGTCCCTCAAAATATGCGTTCGACCACTTTTCATTTGGAATATCAGCTAGAAAATTGCGTGCTCTTCCACCACCAGTTCTTTTGAATTTCTCCAAGCATCTTTCAAACTCAGGTTTTGTGGCAGCGTAAGCGCAATCTCGAAATTGCCTCACCACAGCTTTAGGATAATTCTTTGACTCACCCCTAAATCGATCTTTCAAATTTCCCTTCAAGTGCTTGTAGCAGTAACCATAAAGACAATGTGGAAACACATTCTGAACCCCAACCAAAATCCCATGATTACGATCTGAGACAAACGTAAAAACCCTATCCATTCCAATAGTTTTCAAGTGATTTAGAAACCATGACCAATTGCAATCAGTTTCTTCATCTATAATTGCAAATGCAATTGGAAACAAACTTGGATGTGAAAAAATGATATTAATTACTGGTTTGGATGAAAACAACTATTATGTAGACAACTATTTATGGAAATAACTATTGTCAAAACAACTATACTGTAAAAACCAATATAACATACACTGTACAACTTACGTTCATCGCCGTCTTTTCCGACTGCACTAAGTAACATGCCCTTGTGTTTGCCCTTCAAAAAGGTGCCATCAAGCATGACAACAGGATGACAAACTGCAAATGCAAAGAAACAACGGCGAAAATTATTCTTCACATCATCAATTTCCAAGTGAAATAAACTACCAGGATTTGTCCGCTCCGCTTCTTCAAAATATGACGGAATAAATGAATATGAGCTGCTATGATCGCCAAAGATTAATGCCCTACCTGCGTCAGTCAATCTCCACGCTAAATAATAGCTAATATCAACTCCAAACTTGTCTCTCACCTGCGTAATTATTTCACGAGGTCGGGTACCTGGCCTTGATCGAATCTCACCAGCAATCAAGTCAATACACTACTAGAAATCCGCCTTTTAGCTACGGACGAATCTGTCGCTAAACAACATACATCCGTCGCTACCACATGGTTAGCCACGAATATCGTGCCTTGCAAAATCCGTAGCTAAAAGCCGCGTCGCTAATATTTAGCTACGACTAAGTATAATCCGTCGCTATCTATAGCGACAAAATTATCTGTTGCTAATGATCGACAATGACGTTACTAAATTCGATCGACGATGACAACATATTCCGTCACGACACCCATTACATTCATTACTAAATCCGTCGCTATTTAAAACAACCATTCTAATTAGAGACGCGTACATCCTTGCTAAATCCGTTGCAAAAAAATAGTAAATTTAATAAAAAAAAATTAAAAAAATTAAAAAATAAAGAAATTAAAAAATTGAAAATTATAAATAAATAAATAACTTGTTTTTTTTTTCTTTTCAAATACATCACTGCCTTGTTTTTATATTTACTTAATATCTTCAATCCTCATTACACACTAAAGTGCAAAAGGTTTAGCATAAACCGAAATCATAAATTTACAATTCTTCCTATAAGAACTGCAAAGACCTATATCCATTACCATCTTCATCTTTCTCTTCATCTCGGTCTTCTATTTGTGCATCTCCATTTCCTTCTCCATCAACTTTTGTCTCAGACCACACTGCCTGATACAATAAAAGTTGAAGTAATAAATATACATTCACACAAAATTCATATCTTATAAATGAATAACTTCGCAAAGATGTATATTATTTCTAAAGCTAAAATAAATATCATTTGTGCTCCCAAACTTATGCAAATTAATTCAGTTTTACTAGAGAGAAAAAAATATATAAGAACAAAAATGCATTCACTTTAAGAGCACATTAAATAAAATTAATGCATAAACTAACTCAAAAAGATGAAAGTGAAAAAAATATTACCAGAATGGGAGGAAAAAAAACCAATGGACCAACACAAGCATGCTTGCTATAAAAGCTATTAAATTAGTTTATTTTCCACTTACAGAGCAAATATAATTGTAGTTTGCAGCTTGAGACTCCTGGTCATGAATCAAATCAAACACATATTATTAGAATCTCAAACATATACTTCTAAAATAGATTAAGAAGGATGGCTTTGGAAAAAAATGAATAAGCTAATTATCTGTTAGTAAAATTTGTTAGATAGCTGCCAATAACTGCAGTGTATAATCTGGACATAAAAATCCTCATTAAACACACATGAGCGCAACTCGAACACTTACACAAAGTTTGGCAGAAAATCTAGCGATATGTTGTTCGGTAAAGGTGGTTCAACCTTATTCTCTGATGTTTTCCTGTGATCATAAAAAAGAAAAGAAAATACTTATAGTCAACTTATCAAATGACACTGCAAAGAAAATGGAGCTATGCAATTAAAAGTTTTAATAGAGTTCAAGAAGTATAATATACTCTTTCAGCAATTAATAATGAGGTCATAGACAACAATATAGAGATTACATTAACGCAAATCCCAATAGATTAAAACTGCAAATTGGTAATGTGCAGTTCATTAGAGAATGCTTAAGTCCAGTCAAATAAATAGCAAATAGAGGAAGGTTATTACTAGAAGTGGACCTTTTCGGCCAAGATAAAAAATGTAATATGTAAGTGTAATATTAGTACAAACTACCAACATTTAGAACTCAAGTCCAATTCAAAATTAAGCTAATACACCATCTTAACTAGCTATGTCAATATTTACTTAGAGATAGTGATAGGCCATTATATATATATATATATATATATATATATATATATATATATGTAGTATTCAAGCACGAAATACTTACTTAACTTTGTTTTCTCTTTTCCAGCAACACAATTAACCACACCCTGCAATAAAGTGAGTTGACTTAACGTTATAACATACTATGCAAGTATATGAAGACACATCTTTCGTATAATGTAGAAGCACACAATGCTAAGAAAATTTTACCAATCTTATTGTAAAATTAACAATACCTCACAAACCAAAGCTTTCATTAAAACCTGAAAATAAGAAGAAAAAAAAATATATTACACAGTACAAAATCAACAATGCACTCTGTGTCTTCGGTAAAAAACAAAAATAAAAAAAAAGTTAATAATTTTAATCGAAAAGTAAGACCAAACCCTTATATACAAAATCCATCTTGCACTGTCGAAGAAAAAAATCCGCCCTGAATTCTCCAAACGGATAAAAAAAAATAAGAGACCATAAAATAATCAACAAACACACAACAAGGATGAAAGAGTTGTCATAAATTTTGGTCCAAATAAAATTCGTCCAAATAAAATTGGTCCTTCAGCATATCTAAGTAAAATTGAAGGGAAAAAACCCTAAATTAGAAATTTGTTAATGCTAATTGTGAAAGAGATCGAAGAGGACACAAAGAGATTATTTGAGAACGAAATCTATAGATCTATAAAGTGATAGAAAATAACAATACCTCAATTGGAGAACAAATGGTGGTGGATGCTCGTATTCTCACAGAGATGCACGGACGAACGCAGAGAAGAAGGTAGAGAGCGAGAGACAAATTGGGCAAAATTTGAGAAATACATTTTAAAGAATAAAAAGGAGAATAAATGTGAAAAAGGAAAAGACGGGAATAATTTTTTGTTTGAATAAATTCATTATAATGCATATGAATTTTTAGAAACAAATATAGAGACAAACGTCCGTCGCTCAATACTTACTTTAGCTACGACTTTGATGTCCATCGCTAATGGGTTGTCGCTGAGTATGACATTACAAATGGAAAGCGACGTTTTTATCTTCCGTTGCTAATTCTATTGCTAAATGTTGCTTTTAGAAATAGAACAATTATCCGTCACAAATTGCCGTCGCTAAATCGCGTTTTTCTAGTAGTGATAATAATAGCTGCACTTAATCTCTTCTTATTCGCAGTCCCAAAAAACATTGTTTTTCATGTTTGTACTTACACACCGCTGTCACCCTATATGACTCGTTCTTGATATACTGTTACTCAAAACCCATTTCAATTGAAAACTTAATAAGCGCTTTTCTGAAATCGGCAACACCACGTTCAAAAAACTGACCTACGTCTTTTATCAAATAAATCCAATCAACACTCAACAACTTCTTGCCCTCAACCACCGCAACCACGTTTTCTAAATCACAATCTTCCGTATCCTCAACATCTTTGTCATAGCCAATCATTGGCAGCATCATCTGCGTGTGGGCATGCTGAATTGGTGCATCCACATGTTGAATCGGTCGAATCACAATGTCAGCTGCACCCTTCACCACGATATTTATACGCACCAAAGACAACTCGCGCATCAATGCAAACATGGATACCAAGTCTTCATCATCCGCAATAATGCATTTTCCACAATATGCCACCATATATGTCATGCTTATACTAGATGCATTCAGACATTGCCATTTTGAACACGCAAAATCAACCAATGCTTAGAAAGTAAGTCCAGAAGATCGCTTCAAAGCAACCAAACCACCGTACTTCACAAAAATATTAACATTGTTATCCATCTACAACAAATATAATATTTAAATGAAAATACAGTTAATAGAGAATATACATTAAACAACCATCATTAGTTACTGCATAAACGACTATAAATAAACGACAATAAGTAAATTAACTATAATAATAAGGGGGTTATATCCACCCTAATATATGTAAATGATGTGGGGGGTTCTCACTAATTATCCCTTTTGTATAAGCCAGTATTCGTGTGTGTATACAATTGATCGACTAAATATATGGGGTAAAAAAAACGAACATAACTACGAATGACTATAGTTTACTATAGTTACATGTAGTTACATTAAGTTAAACAGGTTTATTAAAATAATAATAATAATAATAATAATAATAATAATAATAATAATAAATAAATTAGCGAAAATGCTAAATACAGAACCAGAAATGTTGAAAGCAGTTTGGCCGAAAATTGTATATAAGGGTAGTATAGTACTTTCGCCTCTCCAGGGGTATGTCAAAGGATGATTTTTGACTTGGTTTTATTCCTAGTTTATTTGGTACCTAGGGGGTATGTAAAATAAGCCCTAAAGTATATATCTAGAGCTTTTAAAAGAAATTCAGTATAATTTAATTTGACTATGGAGAACGTTACATGTACTTTGGACATTTGTTTATAATGAAGGCAAATTACGGCCACCCCTGAGCTATGGTCAAATTACGAAAATCCCCCTCATGTTTGGGTAATTACAGCCACCCCCTCAACTATGTATTTATCTTACGAAAAGACCCCTCCAGAGGTAAATTTAGGGTTGTTAATTCGGTAAAACCGGACCAAAATTTCGGTACACCAACATTTCATACCGTTTACCGAACAAAATATACGATTTGGTTCGGTAAATAACCGAATTACATAAATTTTACGTAAAAATATTTAAAAGGAGGGGGGTGGCTGTAGTTACCTGAACAAGAGGGGTTTTTTCGTAATTTGACCATACATCAGGGGGGTGGCCGTAATTTGCCCTATAATGAATGATTTTACCACAACTATCAAGTGTGTTAATTATAAAGACTATATATAAATTTTACAAGTCTCCTTGCCTGTTAATTAACTTATTAATGAAATTGTCCTTACAAAAATTACTTAATGATTTTACCATAGAACTCGCAAACATAATACTTTTTATTAAGGAATTTTTTTTAATATTCTAATTTCCTCTTTTTCTATCATAATTAATATATTATTGTAAATATCCAAAGGATATTTTTTCATATTAAAATATATATATCTAGAGCTTTTTAAATAAATTAAATATAATTTGACTATGGAGAACGTGTTACATAATTATTGTCATATGATAATACTTTGGTCATTTGTTAATAATGAATGATTTTGCCACAACTATCAAGTGTGTTAATTACTATATATAAAGTTTACAAGTCTTCCTTGTCTATTAATTAATTTATTAATGAATATGATTAAATTGTCCTTACAAATTTACCTATGCAAAGGATATTTTTGTCTATACAAAAGGGGAACAAAACCTCCTAAATATTCATACTTTTATAAGTAGTATAGATATAGATATAGATAAACGTATTCAATATTCATGTAAATTATAATATTATAAATAAAAAATAAAACATAATTTAGTAATAAATATAAATATAAATAAACCCCTATATTTGTAATATTTACACGTATTCCCATGTTCCTGTGTCCTACTTTTTTTGATTAAGTGTATCCCGGTGTCCGTATTTGTGTGTCGCCGTGTCCCCATTCCCATATCTATCTAACATTGGTTATAGGTCCCAAATTATTTCATTTCACCATAATTTACA